CCTGGCTATTTTTTGGTTGCAGCCGTCATTGTTGTTTGGCGGGCCGGGCTGGATTCGAACCCGCCACCTTGGGTGTACATGGCTAGCGCCTTAGTCACTTGAGCCACAGGCGCCGAGCCATCGTCTTCCATTTTTAACCCAACAAAAACTTATCGAACACTAAGCGAGCACCACAACAAGGACAAAACTTGCCCTTGACTTTAACCAACTTTGGGGGGGGGGTCCATAAAACCCAAAATCTCCTAAAACTCTTTAAACAAGACTAGGCGGGGTTTTTCCTTTGTTTAATGAAGAAATGATAATTCATTTTTTAAAGAATGTTAGGTTTTTAGTCAATAATCAAGCAGGGTTTTACTCACCGATTTCCTCCGATTCTTGCCCAGAAGCTCTAAGCTTGCATTCCCTCGGGTAGTGTTTTTGAATTATGTTCCACAGTTCCATGTTGATAAGAGTATTTTTTCGGGTATGGTACCGAGTCCACGAGGATACCCGGCGGCGACAAAAGGGACAGGATAAATTTGCTTTCTCGACGGTCGATTGGAAACACGGATTACACAGTGTGTGATTACATGGGAGGGTTACAGGCTCGATCAGAATTTCCATACAGATTTGGCACTGGCAATCCGACAAGGAAGGGATGATGTCTTTGGGTACGGCCATTTTAATATGCTAATGACTCTATTCAACATCAACTTTTTTTAAAAAAGAATTTTCGGCCAGCTATACGAAAGCAAATTAAGAGTTTTGCGTTTAAATATTATGAGAACAGGAGCATCAAACACGTCTTGAAGTAAAAAGGCGCTCGTAGGGTCATGCAAACAGTAATACTCTGGAAGGCGGTGTGCTTTGCCCATTTTTAGGACAAAGTCCGGCAAGAAAATAAACGAACGTTTTCATTGGGATAGCTTTGCTGGATTAACACTACGCAGGGCGGACAGGAGCCCGGGCTCCCGGGCGCTGCAAGTGGTAGCCGCCAAGCTCCCCTCCTCCCTCTTTCCCGGTGAGGATGCCCTCATTAGCGCCCAGCCACCGCTCCCTGGACTCCACTCCCGCCCGGACGCGGGCTCTGGCTGCAGCAGGACCTCCGTTTTACCGTTGCTGTAAGAGTAGCGCGCGAGCCCCTGCGTTTCAATTTTCCGGCACCCTGCGCCTTTTCCCGGGGCTCGGCGCCTGGTCTCTGCAGTCTCTTCTGTCAGCCAAATCGTCCATTCGTGACGGCGGGACTGCAGCAACCAGACAAGCACTAGTGACGTCACAACCGCCCGCCAAAACAGCACGTCAGGCCCAGAGACCTACTCCCGTACCCAGCCGTCCGACGATAGGCCGGGCGGGACTTCCGGGATCTGCGCGCGCAGCTCCGTCGAGTCCCGCCTTCTTAGCCTGGAAGAGAGTCTCCGCCGCCCCCAGCCGCCCGCCCCTCTTCGTTGGTGGTGGGTGGAGCCCAGCTGTTCTCAGAGATTTTTGCTCTTAAGTAGGGCTGCAGAAAAGTCCTTGAGTGTCGCAAATTGGTCCCTGGGTAGAAAAAGAAAACCCTCAAAACAAATTAAAGAGGCTGGCTCGGCGCCTATAGCTCAACCGGCTAAGGCGCC